TTCCTACTAAGCCGAATTAGCCCAAGTGGCCGCTGTACCCGAACGCTATCCAATAATTGGGACCATAATACCTCTATTCATAGTTTTTTTTTTTTTTTTTTTTTTTTTTTTTTTTTTTTTTTAATCGGGGTTCACGGAGCAATGTGCTTAAGCTACCAATTTCGAACTCTTTCCGTGCTCTCCAAGATAATAAATAGTTGAGTTTACCGCTTCTATATTGATAACCAGGAAGGCGCCTGTCCATGCTATTTCATACGGTAAATCCTCAAGACACTTTCCTAGCATCCTGACACCCAATGAGCGGGGCATTTTTCCTGCGTGCAACTCTACCGTGCTACATTTTCTGTTTGCATTGTTTAAATAGCGTCACCTACGTTTCATAATTCGTGATAGAGATATCCGAAATTTATAATAGGTTTTGACTTTGTCTCCATTAGTTACTCAACTATTTGGGTTTGGTCTTCGGCCAAGGGGGAAAAAAGTCCCCCTCCCAAAGATCAGCTTGATGTAACTACGGAGGACGCTTCCACTCTCGACCTGGTTTATCGGCTACGTTAACTGAGAACGGCTCGATACTGGTATTTACAACCACACTCCGTCGCCGATTTCAACAACAACGCCACCACCACATCCGCCAGCATAACCTTGGCTCTCTATGTTAGAAGATTCTGCTTAACATGGCTGAAATGAGGCCACGCTCATACATATGTTTCAGGCGATATGCATGTAGGTAATGTACTGTACATGTAAGCTGACTAACGTCCGTATTCCCCGAATAAACGAAACGATTGTTATGTAAAAGTTAGTGAGGCGAACCTATCAGCAACACTCTGAAGTCAGGTACCGTAGATGTATACATGTAGCTTTTTCGCATGGGGGAATTGAAATATGTCATTGCACATCCCCTTCAACTTTCCACCATCCCTCTAGCATGTCAGCCCCGTCCATTTCCTCATCATGCACTTAGCTCCGGTACGCAACGTTGGAATTAAAATCCAACACGTCCAACTGAGAAAGAAATCACCCCGCGAAGGAAGTGGAGTACCAAAGAAGTAGACCAGCCCACCACGACGCCTTGCCCAATTACCAAAGTCGGCGCACCGTGAACGCCGAACAACCAATATCGCCAATACACCTGATCCAAATAAAACGCATGTTAGACTTACGGGGTCCATATTCCCTTTTCTTTCATCGCGCCGTTACAAGCTAAACAACTCAATAGCAAACGAGCAGCCTACACGCGGTCTGTGGCAATAGGCCGGCCTGGCTGCCCTTCCGACTCGCTTGATTCATCCAGCTAGCTAGCATGCATGCTACCAATATATATTGGGATCCATTTAGTGGAAAGATTATGTGCGGGCCGGTCGAGTTGGCCATAATTGCTACTCAAACTGGCCCAAAACCTCACATGAATGTTCGTTTATGTTGAACTGTTTCGTCGTTGCATTTTGCGCCCGCAGACATGAACCAAGGTACCGGGTCCCTGGGTTGCTTTTTAATGTAATGCACCTCAAGGTGTCTATTTACGTCACCTCGCTCTTCTAAGTGGAGGACGGGCCCCTTCGGCTTGGCTTGTTAAAGGAGGGGTCGGAGGGATTGCATGATGAGAAAGAAGTGGCTTGTATTGAGAATTTTAAGAGCTGGAGAGAAAGATAGGAGGAATATATCACAATTCAGTTTGATAAGGTCAACCTCAAAGTCCCCTTCATCTGAATATTTTGAACCACCTAAGTTAACCAGAGTGAAGAGTCGAATGAATAGAGTAAGGAAGCTCTGATGCAAGGAATATGAAGACTCCTTGCCTCCTGTCGGTTACACCCAAAAGGAAGCTGAATGCGCCTGTATCAGCACATCCACACGGAGAACAATCATAGAAGCATTTTATAATCCTTCAAAACCTACAATGCAGCTAACAGACCAGCTATCACTCGTTCGTGGATTGTTCAACAGCAACAAATATTTAAACTATACAGAGAGTACATGTACATACATATATACTCATACATAAAGTCAAAAACGCGACACCCATAGCTGGCTGCATATCGACTATTATGCACTATGCACGAGTTACTGCCCGACGACAACAACGACGAAAGAAATATAGATGTAGCAAAATAGAACTAACAAAACCATTGGGACGGGGAACTTGAAGGCGCCCCTCATGTTCTGTGTTGTTGTCTTGTCGTTAGTGTTGCCCTTGTTCAATCCATTTTCTTCCTCTTCTTCCTCCCTAGTACGTTTCAATTTTATTTTTAATAACCCCCTTGCGAAGAAGAATCGTGAGCTGTTAATCAAAGCATATCCAGAATATTTCAGTTCCGACGACATCTCTTCGCCTCCTGCACTCAGCTGCCAACCTATCACGGATGGCAATTATAATCCAGGTGTGGGTGTGAGGTGTCTGCGTGTATACTGCTTCCACCCCTGATCACTTCTCAAGAGCATGTGAAAAGTATCCAATTCATGAATAGAGTGCACGTTTTATATTATTGTTTTACTCAATTGGTTGTTGGTTTGTTGGATTCCTTATTTCTTTTCTCAAAAGATAAGACCCTTGAGCCGAGAATATCTTCTTCCCATTTCTTTCTGTTCGCTATCTTTCACCATCCGAGCCACTTCATCTGGGAGGGCCTTACACCGAGGGCCATAATATTTTATCCCCCAAAGCTATAGGGGAAGCAAAGCTATAGGGGAAGCAGAACAAGGGTATCTCCTATTCCCGTCGCCCAAAGCAAATGCAAAACAAGAGGAAAACCAAAGAAGAATCAAATGAAACTCGGGTTGTCAAAAACCAAAACAAAAAAGTAAAAGAACAAAGACCAAAGGCAGAGAGATGTCTACAGTTCCATCTCTGAATGATTGTTCGGTAGACACTGATAACTTGGATAGAGAAGTTTAGAAAAATGACCAAATACGCCAATTGGCATCATTATTTCTACACTTCTACTAGAGAGCGCCGACCGTCGTTGCGTTTCTGAGGTAGAGTAAAAGAAGGGGGGAGGGGGGATAAGGGGAAGCCAATGGCTTCTGGAAGAATTGAGCCTTACGGTAATTTCCTTCCTAGTAATATAACCCTTGCGGACGTACGAGGGAGATCTCGTTCCCAGTTTTAGCTGTTAAAAGCATTGGACAATTTTAACCACGGCTCTCAGGTGCTATATTAGGAAAAACGGACGAAATCTTGTTGCTGCGAAATTTCACCTGTGTCGATTCCCTCGGTGATAATGACGGGGTCATCGTCAAGATCATCGGAGTCAACATCATCCGAATCAATTTCATCGTAAGCTCCTTCATCGCTAGAGATATCTTCGTCGTCGGTTCTGTCTCCATCATCAGTAGCTTCTGGCTTGTTAGCTGCAATTTTGCGGATTTGGCCTGCCCGATCCACGTGAGGGAGCTGGCACTTCCGGTTGCCGCAATTCCCCGTGTTAGCATAGTCAGGGCATTCGTGGGCGTGTCGCTGGTCACAGGTCTCTCCGTTGCTACAGTAGCCCAAAATCGCGAAATCGCGACACACAGGTGCGCCTGGGTTAACTCGAACGTGTGCATATCGGCATGATGGATTGGAGCAGCGCCCACGAAGGAAATGCAAACATGAGGGAGATCTTTCCGCGCTTGGTTCATGTGAGAGGTCACATGCCAAACCAGCTACACATTTGCCTGTCTGAAGGAACTCTTTGCATATGGCAACTTTATGCGGGTCGTGGATATAGGTGCAATTCGGACCTTTGAAGCAGGAACCTAGAAAAGGATACGCCAGTCAGCATGCCAAAAACCACACTTCCCCCATCTAAACCCATATGCTCAATCAGTATTATCATGGTGGGTGTGGTGAAGTATTTCGGAGGGAGAGTCGGGTACCCGTCGAAGTAAATCTTTTGCAGAGTTCATTCTTTTTCTTCACAGCTCCAGTTTTTCTGTCGATTAATAAATGTTAACGGCGCCGCCGAGGAGAATTGTATCAGAGAAATTCCGCCGACCAGGTACATACTTTCTTGAAACCACCGATCCTAAACGATGCAGGTTTCCTTTCTTGCTTCTCACAAAGTTTACCCCACCAATGTTCACCTTCTTAGGAGTAACGTTCGCAGCCGACGGTTCATCTAGGAAGGGTAAGTCGGTTCCAAACTTTCTATCTATAGGGGTATTGGTCTCACTAGGTAGCCGAATTAATTTGCTCCCGCCTTGCACAACTTGGAACGGTATGCCTTGTATGGTGATTTGGTAGGACGCTGCTCGTTGTCCAACGACTGGAGTGGCGACGGGATGGTATCCGCCAACGCCCTGTACATGTCTTAAAACCTTGGCTTCTTCTCGCTGTGCCTTTTTCTGGGCTTTGAGCTTGCGGCTCTCCTCGATAGCTTTGGTTCTGGCTTGAGCTTCTTTATCATATATTGCGGAATTTATTAGTTGCATGTGGCGGTCCCTTTTGGCAACCCATCCATTTTGGCTTCCAGATTCGCCTTCATTCATGTCATCAGTTGACGTGTTGCCAGATGGGATGCCGCTCGCATTTTCCGGCGGCGTAGACTGGTTGCTGAGTACAAGGGTTCGATTTCGATGAGGAACTGCATGCCGTCTCGGGCCCGGATATCTACCTCGTCCACGGTAGGGAGCCCATCCCGCGTGATGTCGCGGGTGGTGCGAGCTGTAAGATGTATGATATCCACCACGGGATGGATGTGTTGAGGATGTAGCCTGATTTTTATGCTGGTTGATTTGCCCTGTAGAGAAGCGTATGTTCATTAACAGAAGCCAATATCAAGAGACTACTTGAACGCAACACTTACCGGCAAGCTGCCCAATTTTAGCCAAGAGATCTTGATCTTCTGTCATGGCAAAGTTGACTCTAATGTCGCCGCAATATTCGTAGATTCAGATACACCGTGCTGTTAAAAAGAAAAGTGGATGTTGACGCGAAGTGAATTTAAAGCAAAGTTGAACGAGTTTCCCCTTGCCTAATATGACGATGGCACCTGCTGGCTCCAGTAAATCACGTGATGTTGTTCAGGGATCCCTTGGATTATCCATGGATGCTATTTCGTCACTCGGCAGCATCACTTGCTCTTGTCTTCCTCGTTATATTAACTCAAAATCATTCAGCTCATTTAACCGACCGGCTTCGACCGCTGAAAACTTCACGGAGCAAATAGGTCACAAAACTTGAATATACCTACGGAGATATTAATAAACCCTACGCAAATACGGCAACGTCTGAAGGCTAACCGCGCCGCCACTGCGAGGACAAGCTGTCGCATTGCCATTTTGGTGCTCCGCGTGAACCAAAATTAGGCACTCCTCGCTAGATATACCCTTCACATGGCTTCAGGACCCGGCCTTGGAGGGCAGCGAGTTAAGCTAGAGCCAAGCCCGATCCCTATGATCAAGGCAGACCCCGATGCTCGACCTGAACCCGCGGGTGCAGTATCTGACGATGATATTTACGAAGACACGGGGGATTTGGATTTTTCTAATTCAATGCAAGATGTTTGGTTGACTCGTATACCGAAAATGCTTTGGGAGAATTGGTCAAGGCTCGAAGATGATGAGGAAGTGCAAATTGGGACCATTAGGGTGGAGGGCGGCCCTACGGACATCAAACGTGTATGCGCTTCGAGCTCAGTCTCATCCCCTAAAATCAACTACAAAAGTAAAATTTGGAATAAGAAGAAGAATGAAAAGTGTTAACTTATCCCGCTCTAACAGGTTAGCATGCGGCTTAATGATACACCTCAAATGAAAGGCGTTCCGAAAGATTACAACCTGCGACGACAAAATGTTAACCCTGATAAATCGGCCTTTGCGGTGCAGAACACATTCATCTTCACCGAAAAAGAACTACCGGGATATCGGGATAGGACCAATATACTGTTTAATGAGGCTCAGCCCCATGGAAGATCATATCTATATGAGCAGACAAAACGCGATTCTAGAAAACGAACCAATCGCAAAAAATGGGAGCCATACACTCGGAAAACCATCCCAAGTAAGTTTATCTATTTCTGGCGCTGTTAGTTAGATATGAGACGTTTAACCCATCTTTCTAACCCGGTATATAGAACAAACGGCCATCGTCGGTAGCGTCCGTGACGAATTTAACTGCCTTCCTGTAGAAAATGAAGAGTATCAGAGGATGGCTGAAGCTAGGGCACTTGACGTTCTTAAACCCAAACGCGAAACAATATATATTGGTAAAGTTAGTGGTGAGATGCTGAAACCTAAGACTGTTGCAGCTGCCGATAAATCTACTTTCATTGTAAGTCACATCGCATTTCTCCCTTTCAAGCAAACTATTCACCTTGGTCTTATCCTTTCCTAACCCTTCGATTAGCAAGTTGCAAAGCCTCCCAAGGCTCGCGCTCAAGAGAACAAAACGGCCCGTATGCCCCAAAACGAGCTTCTGGATCTTATCTATGGCTGTTTCCGACGACACAAGTACTGGCCGTTTAAATCTCTCAAAGCAGAACTCAGGCAGCCTGAGGCTTACCTTAAACAAACCTTGGAAATGGTGGCCCATCTTGTCAAAAGCGGAGATTTTGCAATGACATGGGAGCTTAAGCCAGAGGCCAGGGAGAGTAACTACGCCGATGCCTTGGCCTACAAAGATGCCAAGGAGGAGCTCCCGCCTACAGCAGGTTACAACTTCGATTCCGAGGGAGAACCTACTGCTTCAGGGGTTGGTACTGATATGGACGAGGACGACCCGAACGTTTCGTTTGAGAACGTAGTTTAGACGGGTAGAACGACCACTTAAATGAAGTGAATTGAGTAACAGGGTATGGCGTTTGAGAATGATCTGCTGGCAAAAAAGGGGCCACCTTGCTTTATGTAACTTAGCCTCCAGGAATACTAAGGAAAAATTTTTTGGGGGTTAATGTCTTCATAAATAGTTTATGTTACATTAATATATCAAGCTACATTCAATAATCCCATAGAATTAGCTCTCCAAGCATTCAGTCGGACGACTCGGCATCTCCACCCCTTCGAAATTTGTTAGGCCGTCCCATTAGGGTTTAAACCCGACATATTCGAAGACCCATATGCTCTGGGCGCGGCAAGAATTCCTTCATTTTTTGCGGGCATTTGAAAACACCGTGAAGCGGAGCAACACTTACAAAGCGATGTTTCGCTCCGCCACCGGTTTATCACTATGTAATAAGAGTAGGAACTCCACTCTCTGGGTCAACGGAAAATGGAGACGGAAAGTGGATATTCTAGTTAAAAGAAATCAGCTTGTATGGTGAGGCCATAACTTACTCAGATCGAGCACATATGCGACTCCCACTGTAACTGAAACCACTCATAGTCCTGAAAGGTATTGGAGGTTATGTCTCTCTAGCAAGCAGACATGCTACAAAGAGCTTCACAAGGGAAAAACCTCACAACACTAATTGGGTTGATAGCCCCATTGTTTGTTTGTGATCTATGATGCCTCATTCATCACACAGTCACTTATTGATACCCACATAATCATGAACATGGCTTTATAGCTTAATCGAGGGAAGCAATTCTCACTAAACAGGAGTATGCACATTTTCACATCTTCTTTTGAGCATCTTCACTTCACTGCTGAGAAGCTGTCAATGATATAAGCATCTCACTACGGATTACATAGCTTACATTTTAAAGTTATTGAGCTTGAATTTGTAGATTGTCACAAATTTTAAGCTTGCTTCTGAGCTGAATGAGATCATATTCCAAATCTGCTTCATACATCAGAAACCATGTCTCTTTGCTGTCATACTGCTTCAAGAACATCATTTTACAGAAAAATTCATGTTGCTGTCAAATCAATAAATCTTTTGCTATTGAAAAAATTCATATACAGACTATCCACAGCATGCCAACCCTATGAAATATGGTGGCAACTAGGCCTGTGGGCGGTTCGAGTGTAAATCGGAAGGATGTACTCCGTATAACGCTGATGAAATCAGAAAGGAGTTGTCTAAACGGGACTAGGCAGATGGGTCAGTTTTAAGCTTAACTTAAACTGACGGCGGTCCAGATGACGAAACGCCTGACGCGTCGACTACCCACGGACCAAACCTACCTTAATTTACCTCGTAGTTGCCTCGAGGGGCAATTGTATTTACAACTGAAGAAGCGAAACGCCAAAATAGCCTGAAAAGGTATAAATAAGGATGGTACAAAGATGCAATTTCTAGTGATTTAATTCAGCTTCATCACATCTCACATCATTAGGACAGTCATTAATCCCATTGCCATGTAGAAGGGCTTCGTCAAGGATGCGTGAACACTTCTCATTTTCATGATATAAACCTTCAAGAGGGTTGCAAGCAAGGATTTAGCTGTACAGCTTTAGCAATCATATATTGGAGAGGGTAACCTTGATTTCCTGCTCTGGACTATTGGATATGCCTGGCAATTACCCCAAATCTACTTCCCGACAAACTGGCTGGTTGGATTGCTGCTGCTTTGATATGCAATACTGCGCCAGAGTTTGTGATCCAGTAATTTACCTTTTATACACTAGAACTCATGTTTTCAAAGTGTTGCACTATATTTAATTCTTTGGTGAGAAGGAGTTTTGGTAAGTGTTCTACTGTCTGTTTAATCACAAATAAACTATTTTATTCAACCAGCAGCTGGCATGCTGACTAAGCCCTGTCCAGCTCCTCCACTCTCTCCAGATAAATGTTGGTGATTACTACACCTACCCTAGTCACGTGCCACCCCAACCTATTCATTTAGTTTGTAACTCGCGTAGTTAGATAACAATACAACATAACAACATTATTCTCCAAGAGATTATGAAGCCCTCTATGCAATGAAAAGCTGTAAAATAACACGCAAATTGACATCTCCATGTATTATTATACATGCCTAGATGATTTATTAATTAATTGAACTTATGATGAATCTGAGATCAGGTGAAAAGCCTGACTTAATGAAGAATTATATGCTAATATGTAGAAGAAGAAATCTGTAAATATCTGAAGTATAAGAAGAATTGAATGTAAGCTTATTAATATCTGTAATGAACTGAAAAGTGACTGTATCAGAGACTTTTAAACTAAATAATATAATTATAAAAGAATAATCTGATAAGTTTAATAATGAATATAAAGATTTGATTGAAGATATCAGTGAGATATCAGATAATACAGAGAATTTAAGTGACTAAAATGACAATAATTCTATGAGTGAGAAGACTTATATAAGACTAGAAATTGCAAGACTTCAGTATAAAGTTGAGTGAATAAAAACAGACAGAGATAAGAATAAAGAGCTTAGTATAAATTTAATAAACTATCTTCAATGAAAGAGTAGAATATCTGTATTAATAAAGATTCTTAATAAATTCAGAGATTAAGTAAGATTTATACAGAAGTCTGTTATACTTACTGACTCTGTAAATTACTCTATATAAAAGAAAGAGATTCTACTCATAGTAAGATAATCTGAAATGAATGATATTCATAATAATAAGCAGATTAATTCTGATGAGAATATCAGTATAAATATATAATATTTTTAATCAGAATGAAATATCTAGCTGTATAACTATATATAATCTGCAATTATCTTACAGATTAAATCTCACTTTATTATACTTAAGAAGTTTCAACTATCTACTTATTCTCTATAATCTGTCATAGAGAATAATTTTACTGAGAGACTTGCTATTCACAGAACTTATCTGTTTTAAGAATTGATTAAGATAATATTAAAATCAAAGAGTTCTGATTATACATTTATTGAATATTTAATCATAATTAGAACTAATTATATCTGATTGAGATATAATATTGAAGATTTCATGTTTTTCAACAGACTTCTTACAGAGATTAGTAAAGATTAATCATCTTTTATAAAGAATTAAATGAATATAATAGAGAAGAATAAGAATGCTAGAATACTTAAAGATAATTTCATGAAATTATATTAAGATATTCTTCTATAATTATTAGCTACTGATAAATCTCTCATCTCTGATGAAAAGATCTCTGTAAATAATACTCAAGATTTCAATAGAAAGAATAAAAAGAATAAGAAGAAGAAGAAGATCTCTGAGAATAAGAATAAAGATTTTATTAAGCTGAATAGAAAGAGTAATAATACTATTAAAATATATTATCATTATCAGAAGATTGATCATATTTAAACAGATTACTGATTGAAATTTTCTGAAAAACACTCTACTAATTATGATAAGAATAAGAATAAGAATGAAACAGACTCAGTGTCAGTTTATAATATTATTAAGTAAGTATTTCATACAACAGAAACAGTCTATTCTACTGATTAAACTGATAAAGATATCTGAGTTCTAGACTCTGAATTCAGTACTTATACTATATCTTACAAGAATCTCATATTGATAGTACTGTAGAAGATTAATATTATATTAAAGATGACTGATAGATTGACAGCTTCTGCAACAGCTATAGAGAAGATAAATATACTAGTTAAAGAAGTGAATCTGCTGCTGTAAGATGTCTGCTATGTTTTCAAGCTGAAGATTAATCTTATGAGTTTTGAAAAGCTTGTATATTAGAGTTATACATATAAGTAACTGATCTATGAGAATACTCATTCAATCTTGCTAATCTCTTCTGACAAGATATTGAGTTTTACTGTTAAATTAAGTGATAAGAACATCTACATTCTGAAAAAATAATCAATGACTAGAGACTTGATTTGATTTGCAATGTTAAATAATGAATTTGAATCTGTAAAAATTCTATAGTCTGCAGAGAAAAAAGATTCTCTGCTAGCATTGTTTAATAAGAATATTAAGATTATTGAACACATAATATTACAATGATATCAAAAGCTTGATTATCTTAATTCTGTAAATATCACTAAATTAGTAGCAGATTCACAACTGAGAATGAGAATTAAGAGTAGCAGAGCTTTGCTATTCTATAAGACCTGTGTACAGGTAAAAATGACATGTTCAATATTCATATTAATAATAAGAACTATTAAATCTGTAATAAGATTCTTCATGAATCTTGCAGATGATAACTGTACACTATATAATAAAATCAATCTCTCTACTTATAAGAGAGTTAATTATTGAATGAGTATTACAGATAATGTTATATACTACAGATGAATTATTCTTATGATATTAAAAAGTGAGATCACTGTGTATTTAATAATCTTTATTGATGAAATTAAGGTTACTACTTAATATTGAATTGAGACTTTACACTGAGATGATAGAGATGAATTTAAAAGTGATGAATTAAAGATCTACTGTCAGTGAAAAGAGATTATATATGAGATTACTACATCTGTGTAAGAATAAGTACTCACAGGCGATTATTCAGATGTTTGCAGCTTGGCATGATATGTACTGTTAACTACTAGAAGTATTCATAGTAGAAAGATAAAATATAGAAATTAAATGTATAATAGTATTCAAGCTGAGTTATGAATAGTATTCATGAACTTCAGTCTATATAGTTGTATGTAGTCAAGAGCTGCTAACTCTATTAATTATATAAGAGACAGAAATAGAGATAAAGAATCTGTAAGAAGTAGAATTTCTTATATACTCTCTTCTCTCTAAGACTTCATCTGTGAAGTCTTTCACTGAGTGACTTTATAGAATCAGCTCAGCACTGCAGTAATACTCACTAAAAATTCTTCATATCTATAAAAAAAATCTTAGTAAGAAAAAATTTCTTATTACTATAAAAAGAAAAGAGTCTGTTATTTAGTTTCTTATTCTATGAGATTCTTTATAATCTATAGATTCTTCTCTAACTACTATACAGATTCATCTTATATCTTTTATATAGAAGAGTTTCAGTTAACTCTTAATTATTTTTATAAGATTCTTATATAATTATTACACAGATTTATCTCACAGATAAATTACTCTCTATAAGATTATCTCTATTAAAAAGAAGTATTTATAAGTTGATTTTTTATTTATTCTTATAAATCATTATTCTTTAACACTGTAGAATTGTGAGAAATTTTTCATTCTTTTATTAACTCTGTAGAATTATAGAATTAGAATATTTATAGTCTGTAATCACTTTTTATAATTATATAGAAAGATTCAGATCTGTAATTCATAATTACTCTTTATTTATTAGAGTAATTTAACTGTTCTATAAGATTACTTACAGTGTAAGTAAATCTCTTTAAAGTAGTATAAATATTTCAGATCTGTCTGTAGAATCTTATCTTCTTTTCTCTTTTTTTATAACAGCTCTTATTCTTATAAACTATGAGTATTCTCATTCATCTATAAAGTGTTTTCACTTAGATAATAGAGAGAGAGTATTTCTGATAATATCTATATATTAATTCAAGAACTTCTTAAGAATAAAAATTTTTTTAATTTTAATATCTTTATAAATAATGTCTGATCACTTCTAAGCTTCTTATGAGTATTTTCATAACTTCTTTAATTACATTTTATCAGCTGATAAAGCAGAAGTATTACTGTTTATAACAGTATCTTCATTCTCTTCAACTCTGTCACTGTATTCAATCTTTAGATTAGTAATCAATTTCATATCTTTCTCAGATCAGTCTCTGACTTTAAGCAGTATAGTCTTATTCTTTACTGTAAGTCTTCTTATAAGTAATTTCTTACAGACTCTAGCTAACAGTTCTTATAAAGCTCTTAGTATTATCAGTATCTTCTACAGTCTCACAGATCTATGACTACTATATTTCTATCTATATAATCTCTGATCAGATATATATAAATATGTCTAGATTCTCTATTAATAATTCTCACACTGTGACATATTTCTGTAATCTTATTATTAATAAGAGATAAGTCTCTGAGTATCTGTAAAATCTGAGTAATTAAGATAATGTGAATATTATAAATTTATAACAGAAGTTAATCTGAGTA